CGCCTACTTCCCAAGCATCCACTTGTCACACAGACCCTATGTGAGTTTCGGGAAACGAATTTGTAAAGAAAAAGAAAAAAAAAAGGAAAAAGAAAAAGAAAAAGAAAAAGAAAAAAAAAAAAGAAAAAGAAAAAAAAAAAAGAAAAAAAAAAGAAGAAAAGAAACAGAAAAATAACAAAAACATAGGTACCAAAAAAGCGGGCCCAAAATAGGCCCTCTTCACCTGGCGTGAAGTCCAGCAGGACCTTCTCTTTTTTTTTTTCCTTTTTTTTCTTTTTTTCAAAACAAGGCCAGAGCGGACCTACTAGGTGGGGTGATCCGAGCAGCCACCCCTAGTAAGCCTATTACTGACGGCTCCATCTATTGGTGGGGAGCATCACCTGCTGGAAACCGGGTCCAGCGTCCCTTGTACAGATTGACAGCAGGCCCTTCTCCTAATCGCAACTAAGCCAGAGATTCCCTTTCCCAAGCACTCCCCAAAAAAGTGGGCCCTGCCTGCCACATTCAGGCCATTCGCCTCTGTACCGCTACACTCCACAAGAGCCTGGGCATTTTGAGGGCAACCGGTGTGGTCCCTGAATGTCAAAAATACTCGGCCTCCGACCTTTCAGGAGGCCGAAACGAAACGACGGCCGCCGATCAGATTGATCAACATGGGGCTCGGCCTCCTGAAAGTTTGGGTACTGGCCAGGGCTTGCCGAAACCAGATGCCAAAGGTACTTAGCACTTTATTAAAAATCGTTTCAACGAGGCCGGGGATCCTCACAATTGGACCCGGGTGAACATACTGACAGCATCAGCCAGCTTAGCTTAGGCTTCAGAGGGGAACTTTTAAACTAGGAACAGTTCCCTGTCCTGATATTCCCACTCTGAGCTATACAACAACCATTGCCTCCAGGGCCAGCAAAGCCAAACAATCCAAAAGGTTAAAGCTAAACCAGACACAGAAAGCCACACCTCACTCACCTAACTCTATCTCTTCCGCCTATAACTTGCCACGCTACTTCTTCTATACCCTGATGTGCCGTTTAACTTCGACGGTTATCGTTCCAGCACTCCCTCCGCCTACTTTCCCTCTGCCTGTCTCCAGCGACTATTCCAAAGCCTGCCAACCGAGTGCTCAGGTCGTTATTCCTCTATTCTGTCTAACTCCACTCTTTGGGCCTCGTTCCACTACCCTCGACTTGAAAAAATCTCAAGGGCGGCGCCGTTCCACTACGCCCTTGAGATGTGCTAATCACTATTGGAAAGTGATTAAGCTTCCCGCCTCAACAAAATCCCGCTCTGAAACTCGAGGGCGGCCGTAGGGTGCCCAGGCAACTTCGGCCAATTTTCAAGTCACCTCCCAGAGGTGACTTCAGTTTTCTTGGAAACGGTGCCAACATGCACCGCCAGGCAGCAGTTCAGCCCCCCCGTCCGGTCCTTTTCTTTTTTTTTTTTTGCCAACCGTGGTTGTCGGGGCCCAGCGATGGGCCTGGGTTGTGAAAATTCCGTGACTAACAGGGGTGCACATTTTCCCACTCCTTTTGGGAGCGGGAACTGCAGGGTGTAGTGGAACATCGACGACCTCTAGTACTTTTTAATTACGTTTTGGCTCAAGGGCGCCCGTAGGGCTGCCCTTGAGATTTTTTTCAAGTCGAGGGTAGTGGAACGTGGCCCTTTTGCGAACCAGTCGCCTAATACCATTCTGCCAACCGAGTGCTCAGGTCGTTATTCCAATTTTTGGTTGTCGCGGGGGAGTGGGTATAATGTCCAAATTACTACGGTAGTACTCCTATATATTTCTTCTCTTAGGGTCTCGTTAGACACTCCTAAAAGAATCCTAAATTTTTTTTAGGATTTCGTGCGTCGTGGTTACACGCATTCCTAAAATACCATCGTTTAGGACCAGTCCTAAAGGAAAGTCGTAATTAAAAAGAAAAAAAAAAAAAAAAAAGTCATGCTTCAGGGTTTCAGCCAATAGGGTGTGCCAGGAGTCCAAGACAAGGGTGCCATGCGCACGTCGCCACGACTCCGTCAAACGCGGGTATCCTAAAAATTTCAGTAGGTCGGGGGCTACTGAAAAATTTAGGACGAATTTGCCTGGGGAATCCTAAATTCTTTAGGATTTGTCCTAACGCCGTTTTCACATTTTCGATCTCGAAATCGGATTTAGGATCGCATGCAATGACGACGCAATCCTAAAAACAGGCATTTTTAGGAGTGTCTAACGAGACCCTTACATATGTACATTCTTTGGTAGCGACTCTTCAAGTAATAAGACATTCTGAAGTATGAAAAGCTAAGCTTTACAACGGTAGCTTTTACCGTTAGGGCTATAACTGGTACATCCACGGTACGTCCTTCTGGGTCCTCTCGTGCTAGAGAAGGGTCCTCTCAATGCTCTTACGCCTACACCGGATATGGACCGAACTGTCTCACGACGTTCATAAGTACTTAAATATATTATGTATTATCCTTAAAAAATACCGTTTTTGGCCATTCTCGCTCGATAAGCCGTACATCACCGGATGATTAGCCATTGACCACTCGAGAATTAGTCATTGATCATTCCAGTAGTCAGTGATAAAAAAAAAAAAAAAAAAAGTAGTCAGTGATCACTCACGTAGTGCCATGACTCGCTGATCATGGACGAACGTTTTGCACCCCCTCATAACCACGGGTCTCTACCTTTTTCTCTAAATGGACGCCTGATGCCTTGATACACCAGTGATGCTCGCTTACTCTCTCTGTGTGTGTGTGTGTGTGTGTGTGTGTGTGTGTGTGTGTGTGTGTGTGTGTGTGCACGCATCTCACATGCGTGCGCGCCGTCATGTTCGCTATGCATAACTCCACAGAAAAAGCATGACTGTGCCAGACTGTTTCGTTGGACTATCACAGACTCATCATATGCGTGTTCGTATACACAGCTGTGTATGTATGTGTGTGTGTATGTTTGTGCGTGTGTATGTTTGTGTGTGTGTGTGTGTGTGTGTGTGTGTGTGTGTGTCCAGTCACAATCACCCCCCTGTCCCTTTTCCTCTTACCTAGTCTGCCCGCTTTCTCGCGCGGCGACCCGGAAGGTGGTGGTTTTTCCTCAGGGAGGAAGTGTCGTGAGTGCACAGAGCAAGACCCTCGCGCACTATTGTGGTTGGGGAGGCGGAAGCTGTTGTGCTTGGCGGCCACGTTGGACAGCAGGTAGCAGCAACGCGTAAGGAACGTGGGGTGGAAGAGATGCTAGTCGTTTGAGACCTAGGAGGGAGCGGGGCCGGCGCCAGGCGCGAACATCGAAGCGAAGCTTGCAAGATGGATCGAGAGCTATCGGCAGGCGAGGGTTATAAGGGTAGAGGAGGGTTAATGGGGGTGGAGGAGGGTTAATGGGGGAGGAGGAGGCGACGAGAAGAGACGGTGTAGCCGTAAGAGAGCTGAACAATATGGATTCCCCAAGCCGCTGCCGCGGCGGCAGGAATAGCAGGGAAGGAGCCAGTTCTAGGCGACGTTGGTCGTTGTTTCCCGTGTAATCTCTTCTGGTCTGTGTGGTAGGCTGGTAGCTGCTCTGTTCCCCGTCGCTCGCTGCTTTTGGCTCCCCGCGTGGCGCCTCATGACAACAACAAGGGCGAGAAAGCGACGGTCAAAGTCAGCAAGTCGAGCTCGACGAAGACGCAGCTCCCCTCCGAGTACTATTCCTTTCCGTTTTGCAGACCCGATGAGATCAAGAACGGTGCCGCGAATCATTGACACACTCACTGCCCACAGTCGGTCAGAGAGATCTTCCACTTGATTTGCCATTCATCACTCCATTGGCCATAGATCACTTGATGATTACTCATTTGACTACTCGATAATTAGTCATTGACCATTCCATTGCTCATTCATCAGTCATGTAGTGCGCTAATGAAGAATCGTCACGACGAGCAGATCGCCCCTCATAACTACCGGTCTCCCTCTCTTTCTCTAAATGGATGGCTTGATACACCAGTGATGCTCGCTACCCTCTCTCTCTCTCTCTCTCTCTCTCTCTCTCTCTCTCTCTCTCTCTCTCTCTCTCTCTCTCTCTCTCTCTCTCTCTCTCTCTCTCAGATTGCACGCACACGTCAAATGTCATTTGATGACAAACGGTGTACTTGGGATACCATTGACTCATCGGGCCATGATCACTACGATAATACACAGAGGTGTTTGACGAATCGAGCATAATCTTAATGCACAATGCTAACGCGCTCGAGGGGTCGATGCCAGTGCTTACATCATGCATGCACCCCCAAACAAGATACTTTTATTTTCCTTTCTTTTTTCAAAAGGGCGATTTCCTCGAGATATCATCATTGGACTGAGCAGCCCCAGGTAATTCAGAATTGTTTTGATCTGCTCATCTGATTGCTTGTGGGCTAGGATTGCTAGAACTGACTATTGGGGTAGGCTAGGACTGACTATTGGGCTAGGATTGCTAGAACTGACTATTGGGCTAGGATTGCTAGAACTGACTATTGGGCTAGGATTGCTACAACTGACTATTCGATATATCTCTGGAAATGATTGCCGTGGCCATTGATTGTGCTGCATGAATACTGTGTGTGTGTGTGTGTGTGTGTGTGTGTGTGTGTGTGTGTGTGTGTGTGTGTGTGTGTGTGTGTGAGTGTGTGTGTGTGTGTTTGCTTCTTCCTAATTTATCGTAGAAGCGGGCCAATTTTGTCCCCATCTGCACGTACAAGACGATATAAGGCGTGAGCGCCTGCAGCTCTCTGAGACAAATGGATAGCAGGTGCTATCGACGTAGCGACAAATTCGCTCCTTAGAGAGAGAAGCTAACACAGCTTTCCTACTGGTGTGGTGGAGTTCTTGCAGACGCGCCCGCGCTCGCGTGCGTGGTTGTGTGCTAGCTCGTGGGTACTGAGGATTTATTGCTCGCGAGTCGCTATTCCATTCTCACGCCGTAAACATACATAGGATAATCGCCTGATACTACCAATAGTATAGCCCTAGTGAGTAGAGGTCAGAAGGTGGTGGGATGCTGCACTTACAATTTTACTGAAAGCAAACTCGCCGAATGCCCGTGTTACCGTTGTGGGCGCCTGCGGCCGGACGTTATCACGCGCCTCATGCAAAATGATATGCCTTTGATTGCTCTTCATTCTGCTCGTCCCCTTTTCGCAACGGTCCTCTCTCTCTCTCTCTCTCTCTCTCTCTCTCTCTCTCTCTCTCTCTC